GGCGAGGAAGGAGGTGCCAGCAGCCATAGCCGACTTGGAGGTTGACCCGGCGTTGACCAAGGGTTGACCGGGCATTGACCTAGGGTTGACCGAGCGTTGACCGGAGCTGTTGACCATGATTTTGACCAAGCTGGGGTTGGTAAAATCTCGCTAAGCCCTTAGCCTATACCCTCGACCTATGGATGTGCACTCACCCTATGGTACTTGTTGAGTCTGAGTCTATCTGTCTCTTCTTTCTGCATTGAGTCTCTTCTGTCTAGGTGATAGGACTCCGTGTATGAAGGATAGGGCCTCGTTGACCAAACCCACACGGGCTGAGTAGGGCTAAAGACTGTCTGACGATTCAACTGTCCCGGAGGACATGGACCCTCCCAAGGACCGGTACTGACCGGCGGGCTGCTCGGTGTGGCACGGTAGGGCCAAAATCCGAGTTGTGGGCTGCACAACGGGCCGTCTAAGTCTTGAGAGGATCTGCTGACCGCGTCGTCCTGTTTGCGACGTTAAAGAATTCCTAAGGAGTTACGGGGGATCTCTTTAAATGTCTCCTGGTCAACAATAGATCCTGTAGTGACGGCTGTAGTATTAGAGTCTAGGCTAGAGACCATAGTTGACAGGGTTCCATACGGATCCTGTGGTCCATAGACTGAGTCAGTCTTAAGTTGAGTCAGTTAGGGGGAGAGTCTATAAGTGGTGAGGAGCGGAACTGTCACTTGGTTGTGCACCTTTCACCATGGTTGACACGCGTAGTGGTCGGAGCACCTCTCCTTACACAGCAAAACAGGAGGTGAAAGCCGCCGCCATCTCGAAAGAGAGAAAAGAAAAGAAAGAGGCCAAGAAGAAGGCCCTGATGGAGGAACAGGAGGCGAAATTGAAGAAGATTGAGGAGGAGATGGCCAAAGAGAGAGAGAGGTTGCGGAAAGAGCAGGAAGAGAAGTCGAAAGCGGTAGAAGAGGAGGAAGAGGTAGAAGAACAACCGCTGGAAAGGAGAAGAAGGGGGCAAGGAGGTGAATCCAGTGGTACAAAGGAAGATCGGATGGAGAAGAAAATTACGGAGTGGGTTGCTGGTTTATCCCTGGGGAAAGAAGAGGCACTGATGTATGTGCCCAGGGAAGAACAAGAGGCCGCCATGAAAGAGTAAGATGCAGAAGAAGACCCGCTCAAGCAGCAGGCGATAGAGGATGAGAAGAGGATGAAGTGGAAGTTCAGAGTGACGAGGGAGAGGAAAAGAAGAATGGAGGCGGCGAAAGAATTAGCGGAGGTAAAGAAGCAAAGAGAGCAGATGGCGACGAAGGTGGACCTATTGGGGAAGATGGAGATAACGGCGAGAAATATAGAGCG